TCTCTCTCTCTCTCTCCTTCTTCTCTCTATATATATATATATATATATATATATATATATATATATATTTAATAATGTTAATAATATTATAATTTACACCAAGATATCGTGAATGAGAAAACAACAAGTGCTAATGGGATTTCCTGACGATTTGGTGTTCTGAATAAAATATCGCGTGCCTATTTCAAGCAATTTAAATAAAGATGAAGGGACGTGAATCGCGTAAGGGTGCATAAAAGGCACGCCTTCATCATCAGTATTATTATATCCATATTTGGTGAATCCGAAATGAAAGGGAAAGAAATTTTTTTCATCATCCCCGAATAAAACGCCGACTGTCCGAAAATAAAAATAATCGTCCGATGAAAAAAAAAGGGTTAAAAGTAAAAGTAAAAGGATACTATTTACAGACTATGTGCTATTTCGAGCAAATCGAGAAGAGGCGTGGAATCCACGTAAGAGCACTGCTATTTGCCGTCGACATTACCGTGTCCACATTTAGAGAAGCCAGATCGAAAGAGTTAAACGTTTTCCCAACGTTCCGGATAAAACGCTTTTTCGCTTATTTCGAGTGAATTCGAAAGGAGAGTGTGGAAATCTATATAAGAACGAGTGCCATTTATCACCGATATCGCTATATTCATATTTGTAAAACCTTGCGTGGAACGGAAAGGTTAAATTCCTTAATGTTCCAAACAAGATGATATTTGTCCATAAAGGTAATAACGATGTATAAAAAGCACCGGGGAACTATTCATAGAGCAGTGACTATACCAGGCAATTTGGAACGAGGGTGGATGAATTCGCGTAAGCTCACATAAGGGCGCTATTTATTGCCGACAATGCTGTGCCCATATTTACACGAGACCTGAAATAAAAAAGGTTAAAACATTTCCCCACGCAAAATTCTAAATAAAACGCTAGCTGTCGCGTTCAAGCGATTTTGGGCAGAGGTGGAAACGTAACGTTGTGAAAATGTCACAAGCGCGTGTAAACCCCGCTGTTTTATCGCCAATATTATTACGTTCGTATCTGAAAAACCTATAACGGAAGGGTTAAAAATTTTCCACCGATATTCCGAAATGAAATATCGCCTGTCTGCGAAAGAATCCGCGGAAATGCGGGATCCCGGATGAGAATACAACTTCCACTTCGTACGTACAATGTCGAGGAGGACGAAATTCGAATAAGAGCCGCTAGTTATCGCCGACAACAAAGGGGGTTAAAAATCTACCAACGTCCCGAGTGAAACGTTAGCTGTCGAGGGGGAAGAATCGAGCCGGAAAGGAGAATCTACCCGAACGATGCTATTTGTAGACCAGCAGTTGTTATTTCGAGCGATTTGGGGAGGCGTAGGCAGGCGGAATTGGCGTAAGGGCGCATAAACCGCGCTATTTATCGCCGACATTACTCCGGACTCGCATCGGTCTTCTTGCGTGATAGGTGGCTCGCTTTTACGAGTCGCTTCCGAGAAGCTCAAGGCTCTTTGTTGGCCGAAACGAGAGCGCTTATGCATAATGGATCACCTGGTAGCGAGCGAGCAGTGATGCTTGCTTACTTGATACTTGCATCACAACGGGACGAATGCAGCTGGCAACGATAGCACCGACAGAACTTCCATGTCTAAAAACACCGAGGGGAAATTGATTGCAATTGAAGATTAGGCGATTAAGTGATTTCTCTTATCCCGGGATAATAGAATCGAAGTCGAAAAAAGTATCGAGGAAGGAGAGAGTTTGAAACGTTGAAAATAGAAATATTACTTTAATGATCTAATATTCGTTAATAATTATCTGTCGATTTTCATTAATACATTTTAGCAAACAGGAACGATACTGCAATATCAAATAGTGTCTGAATGAAAGCATGTTAAATTTAATAGAAATAGCTTGACAATTTTGAATTTAATTTATGAAATAGATATTGACGTATTCTAAAAGCTGAATGATTACTTTTCTGATTATTAATAATAATCTTTCTATAGAGCTGCAATTCGTAATTTTATAAATAATAATTATTATTTCTGTTACGTTTGTCATCTCTATTGATTTGCTGTTACAAAAACAATTATAAAAACAATTTATTTACTTGACTATGTATCATCGGCATACAATAACAATATAACAATAATAATAGTAATAATAAATATTACAATATAATACTAAATAAATACTAAATAAATAATATTAAATAAATAATAAATAATAAATAATAAAATTCAGCAAATAATAGACCAAGTGTTTTAAAATATAATAACAAAATTTTATAAAAGTTTGATCGAAAAATTTCCGTTAAATTACAGCATCTTTAATCGCATGTTACGATTTCTCGGCACGACTTGCGATTGCGTTAAACGATAACTTAATTTAACCAAGCTGGAGTCAAATATAGACAGCGGCCCACAAAAGAAAGACGACGAGTCGAGCATGGGAGAAATGAACAGGGAAACGAAGGATCGATGCGCAGAAATAACACGCACTCATGGGATTCGCCGCTTTAATTTCCCCCCGGGGAGGAAAGGATTCGTGTCTTATGTCGGTCAATCACGACTGCTGTTTCTATTGCTGCTCAAGGATGTCTAGATAGCCTTGGTTACATTATATTGGATCGTTGCATAAGAGATATCGACCTAATAATTTTTGAAGAAATAAAGTATTGTGATCAAAAAATTGTTATATGTTTTCTATAAAAGAAACGAATTTAATATAACTACAGAATTTATTAAAAGATTCAAAGATTCAAAAATTCATGGATCGTATTTCATGAAACTCGAGACGATCAACTATAACTAGACAAAAAATTGTATAGCTACATTACCCTAATACTACGTAGTGTGTGTGTGTGTGTGTGTGTGTGTGTGTGTGTGTGTGTGTGTGTGTGTGTGTGTGTGTGTGTGTGTGTGTGTGTGTGTGTGAGCGTAACTTCCAAAGATTATGAAAATATAAAGAGTGAAAAATTCGCGAAACCGAGGATTCATTAGCAAGGAAATAGATTTCAGGGTGGTGGTTAATGAGCAGAAGAAAGGACGAGGGACGAAGTCGGATCAAATAGAATATTCATCAGGTATAATTATTCGTCCGCTAAGAAACTTTAGGAAAGATCGGCCGATTAAGCGTGGATAGCGCGATAATTTCAGGAAAAGTGTATCATTCGTATTCCCCGAGGAATACAAGACAAAGGAAAAAAGATTTTAATAATCAGAAATTTAAAAATATGTTTACTTATTTATATTGCAAATTTATTTTAGTTATTTATATATATATATATAAAATATTTATATATTTAGTATTTTAATTGTATAATTTTAAATTAAAATTTCGCGGAATAAAATTCGCGGAATAAATATAAAAAAAAATCTAAAATTGAGATTTTAATTGTCTTACTAGTAGATACCATGTAATTAAATATTATATTATAAATAAAAAAATAATTTAAAAACCTTAACATTTCAGATTTTTATTAATAATTTAATTATACGGTACATAAAAAAATATTAATAAGTTCTTTCTAATTTAATTCTTTAACAAGTATGATAAATCAAATTTAATGATGAAAGATTAATGAAGCGCGTTAATTAATTCTGTAATGCCAACGAGAGGAGAAATTTAAAGGGACAAGAGAGGAGAATCGATTGCCGGTGACGGGATTTGATCCCGGCAAATGTATACTCTGATTAAGCTGTTCTTAGCCGGTAGGACACGCATATGGAAATACGGTTAATTGTAAGTGTCCTGTCGATAGGACACGTCCACGCGTGTGTCCTCGTTAAGGCTCAGCCATCTGAGCTGACGAACAAAATGGGACCAGAACGTGTTCTTAACTTTATTATGAACGACGAGAACCTCTAATATAGTTAAGCGAGACACGTCGGCGCATCCTTACGTGACTACTAATATATCGATAATAGCGAAAGATAATAGCGAAAGATTGCTCTCTCGAGAGAGGAGAACATGCGCTTTAATTAACTACTCATGCAAATTAATCAAGAAAAAACAGACTATCGATTATTGAAAATTCCAATTTTTTGCCAATGAACTTGCACTAGAGGCCAATGTTAAACGATAATTCATGTAACTAATTACACGTAATACCTATTAATACCTAATTAACGTAACGTATCGATCATTTGCAATTAATTGAAAGCTCCTCCATTGAAGCTGTATTTACTTTCTTTTAGCAAAATCGTGTACATATAATATTATATCAAACGTACATATTGGATATAATATACAACTGTTGTAATATGCTAATTTACCGTTCTAACTAATTAGTTAATTGTTCTTAGTTATTAAACTGTAAGAACATATGGTGTTTATATGTATACAAATTATGATATTACACATTTATTATATTCATTTTAAAACATTCGAAAAAATTTGGTTAAATAATAACATGAAAGAAAAGTAATATCTAAGAAATGTTTTGCCATAATTTACTACTACTACTTCGAGACGTCTGACCAAGTTAAGTTTTTACTACTCGAAGATCTTCCGAGACGTCTGACTATAATAAGTCTTGACTATTTGATCAATACCTGATTACTAACAGTCTTTCAATATACAAATTATTTAACAAAAAAGTAATGTTAAAATGATACAGAGATAAATAACGTGTTTAATTTATGTCAATATTTATAAAATTTGATCAACGTGTTGGGATCTCGTTAGTCGGTCGATAATAGACCGTTTAATTAGAGAGCGGTTCTTGTGGATGGCCTATGGTGGCA